CCCGTATCCAGAGCTTGTGGGCTGCCTCATGTACCTGATGACCTGCACTCGACCTGACCTTGCATACCCTCTTAGCATCCTAGCACGCTATGTCGCTCCTGGCCGTCACCGGAAGGAGCACATGGATGCCGCTAAGAGGGTGTTGCGCTACTTGTGCAGTACGTCGGGCATGGGGCTTGTGCTTGGAGGACGGAGCGACGTTGTCCTCACTGGGCACTCAGACGCTTCTTCGGCTGACGACCAGGCTACACAGCGGTCGTCTCAGGGTTACACCTTCAGCCTTGGCTCTGGTTCAGTTTCTTGGCGTTCTACACGCTCGTCTTCAGTTCTCAGCTCCAGTTGTGAGGCTGAGATCTACGCCACAGCCATGGCTGCACAGGAGTTACGCTGGCTCACCTACCTGCTGACCGACCTGGGAGAGCGGCCTCGTTCTCCTCCAGTGCTGTACGTCGACAACAAGGCCGCCATTGCCTTGTGTCAGGAGCACAGACTGGAGCACAGAACGAAGCACATCGCTCTGCGCTACTTCCTTGCTCGAGAGCTGCAGCAGCGTGATCAGCTTCGTCTTGCGTACGTGGCCACTCGGGCCAACACTGCTGATGTGTTCACCAAGGCGCTTCAGCCTTGTGATCATCAGCGTTTCTGTACTGTTCTAGGCCTTGTGCCTACTGTCCCTCACTTGCTCACTTCTTGACTCTGCTTGTACTGTGATCTCTATATATATACCTGCATGCTTACACTTGCTAGGTTGTGATCACTGTACCTCTTGTTATATTATCAAACTGAACTGGTCTTGTGACCGCTTGCTTGTGCTCGGAATTTGTGTGGTATCCTTGAGATCCACCCTGAGCTTGCTTTGCTTTGCTTTGCTTTGACTGGTCTTGTGACCCCTTGCTCTCCCCCACTTAGCCTATGGGGGTGTGTCAAACATTATATATGTTATAGCTGTGTAGGCTACAGTGGGTTAGCCTTTAGGGGGTACACTACTCTAGGGTTTGGTACTTGTACTCCCATTCCTTCCTAGTTCACACACTTCTCATTTCTGACACCTGCCCCACCTGCTTGTTTCTTGATCTTGTCTTGTACTTTGATATATAAACCTGCATGTTTCTGGTTGCTAGGTTGTAATCATTGTATTGCTTGTGTTATTATCAAACTGCATGTGAACTGGCCTTGTGGCCGCTTGCTTGTGCTCGGAGTGTGTGGTGTCCTTGAGATCCCAAACTTTTTAGGGCCGAGAAGGCAGCTTGCTCTTTCTCCCCCCACGTGTACTCAACCCCCTTCCTGAGTAAGTCGGTCAGCGGGGAAATCAGCTTCGCCATCTCGGGGACGAGCCGATGCACGTAGTTGACGAACCCCAGAAAACTTTGTTGCTCGGTTATATTTGTTGGCGCGTGCTATGCCTAATTCGTCGCGATCTTCTTCGGGTCTATTTCCACGCCGTTGGCCGAAAATACGCGGCCCAGAAAATTCCAGCCTGTCCTGTAAAAGCTCACACCTTGACGCTTTCATCAGTAGGTGGTTCTCAGCTAAGATCTTGAAAACAGCTTCAATGTCTTGTAAGTGTTGTGCTCTGGCAGGGCTGTAGATCAGTATGTCGTCTAGGTAGACGATGACGCACTTATCTAAAAGCGGGTGCAACGCCTCATTCATCGTCATCTAAAATGTGGCGGGGGCGTTGGTCAGTCCAAAGGGCATGACGGTGTATTCAAATTAACCGTAGCGGGGTGCGGAAAGCAGTTTTCGAAGGTCGGTTTTCGAGAAAACGCGGGTTGTGCGAAGTTGGTCGATGAGTTCGTCGACTCGTGGGATGGGGTAACGTGACTTGATCGTAACCCTGTTGAAAGCGCGGTAGTCGATGCACATTCGAAATCCCCCATCTTTCTTCAGTGTGGACAGTATGGGCGTGGCGAAGGGTGACGAACTCGGGCGAATGAATTTCTTCTCGAGCAGGTAATCCAGTCGCTTCCGCAGTTTGTCCAGTTTAGGTTGGATCAATCGGAACCGTCGCTGTACCGTCAGCTGTGCTCCCGGTTCTAAATGTATGCTATGGTCATGTGATTGCTGAGGTGGCCGTCCCTCCAGTAGCAGTGTTGACATATCATCCGGTACATCGGAAAGCAGTTTCTGCAAATCGCTTGGTTTGTCTGCTGCCTCGGCTTCACGAATGTCGACCGCGTACACGTCAGCTCCTGCCGCTACAGCGCGTTTCATCGTGATAACGTTGAATCGAACCGACGAAGACTGAGGCGAGCTCCAGCCGCCGTTGACTCGAACAGCGTAGACGCCCATCGTCTAGTCTATTCGCGGGTTGTGTCGTCGCAGCCAATCACGTCTGAGTTAAATATCTGTTCCGTCGAGGGTCATGGAAAGCATTTCCTGGGTGAAGGTGAAGTTACCCCCGCAACGAATCCGAACTCGGTCCATGCGTTCCCGTATCGCCAGTGGCGTGCCGTCAAAGTCTCGCGTCGATCTTAGGTAAGCATCGGTCCAGTTGCAGCCTAAGTTTCCGTGCAGTGGCGGTATTAATTAAGCTGTGGCTAGCCCACTAACTAAGTGTGAGTGAATTTTCCCACTAAGGAGTATGGGGTATCTACCCTTGTACCCTCCTTGTCCAGCCGAGTGTGGTCGGCCGCGTGAAGCGGCACTGTCCCTCGATGAGGGCCGATTGGTCTGCTACTGACTCCCTGCGTTTCCCTGCTGCTTGGTCTATTTCTGCTACTCGGCTCCCTCTTTTCCCTTAGCTTCCGGGCATTCGCTTTTGCGGTGCCCCGGCCTGTTGCACGCAAAGCAGCGCCCTTTGAACGGTGCTTCAGCGGCATTCGCGGCGACGACGCGTATCGTGGCGTGCTCATCCGTCCCACAAGTCCGATCTCCCCAGTTGCTGTTTTTGTTTTTAAGACCCCGTCCTCAGTCGGCGAAGGAAATATATTTTTTCCGCCATGGCGAGTGTTTCATTGAACTCCGTGACGCCGCGAAGCAGGATTTCTTGCGCGTAGACCACCGACGTAGCGATCCACGAGCTCAGCTTCATGCATGTATCCCACCTGCTCACACAATGTCAGGAATCCGCTAGTGTAGTCCTGGACGGAACCGAGCTGCCAGCAAGTGCGCAGCTTCTGACGCGCGGAAATTGACGCCGCAATAGACCTGCGCACCACGCGTCCCACGTGCGATACTGGGCTACCTCCACAAAATACGACGGTGCCCAGGGTCCGATTGGTCCTTCCCATGGCGCTAGAGCCTCGTAGTCGCTCGGCTTTGTGACTATGACACGCCACCAATCTCTGTCGGGTCCTTACAGTAACGACACGGTATAACGGATTTATTCCGCATCCGACGAGACGTAGTTGGCGTCAAAGAACACGTTCATCGTGAAGAGCCACGCTTGAACCGTCAAACCACCCCGTTGACTCGGGTCGAAGCATGGCGGGTGCTGCACCTTGAGCGGCATCGGTGAAGGGAGTGCCGGCTCGTCGATTGGTGTCGCAATGTTGACGTGACGCTGACTTCCAACCGCGTTCGTCGCTCCGGGGTGTGTCGTCTCGTGGTCATCGCGAACGTCATTGTGTGCGACACCATCACTAGGAGCGCTCGAGGGTTGTCCCACGCTCTCGTATCGGGATGTGGATGGTGCTACCAATGCTGTGTTCCTTACATTTGTGTCTGTGCTTGTTGCGCCCGTGCGATGTCGTTTTGGAGTGGCGTGTGTTCTGCCGTTAGCGCCGCGATTTCTTCGCTGCTTTCGCGTAGTTGGCGCGTAAGCTCGTCCGGGGCTCCTACGTAAGGCTGGCAAGGTCAATGCGATCCCCCATGTCGAAAAACGGTGGCCGGCTTAAGTGCTAGGCGCAGTCGTGGCTGCGCGCGCTTACGAGACGAGGACATCGGCTCCTAGTACGCTGAGGGGTGTGCGTCCCTTTGAGTGAAAAGTCAAAAGTTGAGTTTTGCTGGCTGCGGAAATGCTTGTCCAAAAGGAAAGTGGCTCCGATAGCCAAGTGTTACGGGTGTAATGTATCGAGGCAGCGAGGATTGCATTAAGTTGGCAAACGAGTACAAATGTGAGCGAACGAAGGCATGGGCGAACATTTATAGCGAAACCATAACGCGGTGCGTGCGAGCTAGCTAGTGCGATGCTGGCAGCGAGGTTCGGGCTAGTCCTGAAGCGTAGGCCGACTCGGGCCAGTCCAGTGATGCATGGTTTGGAAATTGTGATGCGCGAAGGCGGCGAAACACCGTTAGCAGTAACGGGCGAAAAAATGGTCGGTCATGTACGCGATGTTGAGATGCATTGTAAAAAAAGATGATAATATCCTCACAGAAATCCAAAGGTGAAGCGAGGCTGAGGAAATCAAGAAGAGTATGTTATTCCAAAAATTTGGGTTATGCAAATTGTAGCGTAAACCCACTAAGAAATGAAAGTTTCCTTGCAAATGCTGTAGGTACACTAATTTCCGAAGCCACAAACGATCATGCAAAACTTTCCAAGCTCCGTGACGATGAACATATTGTAACCACCGGTATTACAGTGAAGACGCAGGGCCGAGAAAACTGAATTTGTTATTGTCAGTTGTGAGATACCTAGCAGCAGTAATTTATTTACCTGGGCAAGACATCTTGCCCATTCACCCTGTGACCTATCTCGAGGTGGCGAATCCGACGCGCATGGGCTTGCCAAAGTGGAAGATGGAGTGGTACGCCATGAGAAACGTGTCCCCCAATATCCTGGTGCACACACGCGTCCCGTCCCCACAGCAGCCACCCCCAGAGCAGTACCAAAACACACACAATCAAGAGGGCATGGATGAACAACAAGCATGTCAGCACTAGTGCACAAGAGAATAGTGGGACCACAATAAAATGCAATCGCTAACATATGCAGGAAAAGAAGTGACTACAGTGAGTACTCACATGTATTCGCACTCTTCCGGCAGCATAACATGCCAACCAACCCTCCCCCCCCCCCCTCCCCTCTCTCTTCCTTCCCCAGCCTACACACGCACCACGCATGGCCATTGGGCGAGATGGCAAAGTCCATGCCCACGAACGCCGCAAAGCACGCCGTGCCGCCACTCCTGCCGCCCCCTGAGCGCGGGTCGCTGGGCTGTGCGACCTGCAGCACGTACTGGCGCGGTGACAGCGTGAATGTGCGCCCCTCTATGGTGAAGGAGAGTGGTGGCAGCGCGGGCACTTGGGTGCACGGCACTGCACACGGCTGCAAGCACACAGGAACGGGGGAAGGGAATGGTGCAGACAGTGGGTTGATGAGTGCGAGTTGGAGCAGAGAGGTTGGAGGGGATAATGCACACATACAGGGAAGAGCGAGGGGGGAGAGGGAGGGGGGAGAGAGAGAGGGAAGAGAGAGGGGGAGAGAGCAAGAGAGAGGGACGGTGGAAAGGGAATGGAAAAGGAGCAGTGCTTACAGGAGAGGAGCACATGGAGATGCCCATTTGAGAGTAGATCTGATGGATGGCTGCCTGCACACCGCAGCACAAGGCAAACACGTGAGGTCCGTGAAAGGACGATCGAATGACAAGAGTGAAGGGCATTGTGCAGAGAGACACAGCAACGGTGAGTGCAGTGCAGTGCAATGCGGTGCGGGGTGCAGCGCGGGCATCTTACAGTGGGCCCGATGATGAGTGATGTGCCGGTGTCAGGCACTGCGTCACAGCCACTGCTGCACGTGGCTGGCACGCACGCAGGGGGAGAGGGCGCAGGGGAGCAGAGGGACGTGCGTGAGTAAAGAGGCCGGGAGGACTTGAAGAACGAGGACTGGCGGAGTTGGATCAGGAATTATCCAATTCCAACTGGGCATGCTGACAACAGGCACTGCAGGCCCACACTTGGCGAATGTGCAGGAACAAGGCATGCCCGTAGGAGAGAACTTGGACAGTGCGAGGCGGCGTGCGAGTGCCTTACCAATGGTCATCGCTCCCATCTTGACCTTGCCCATCCGAATCTGCTCGCACGTAGTGAGTCAGGAGGCACAGGTAGGGAATGCAGCGATGAGAATTCGGAATACCCTTCATATTCCTGCCAATGCTACCATGCGACACCCACCGCCACCCATAAGACACGAAGACATGTGCAGGAGAGAAAGAGTCGGTGCATGGGAGAGTGCTCACGTTCCAGTATCTGCCAGAGCCCACGACGCGTGTGAAGGTGTGCGAGCCAGAGAAGCGCGCGGGGTTGATCCCCCCGAACATCACCTCGCCGCCCGCCTTGCTGCCGCCGTTCTGGTTCATCCAGAAGGAGAAGAGCGGCTTCGGCAGCAGGCCCTGCTCCTGCATCGTCTTCCTGGTGGACCGCAGGGGAAGGGGGATTGGGCGATTGTGGGGGCATGAGGGGTGGGCGTGCATGTGCACATGTGCGCTTGTGTCTGTGCATGTGCGCAATCCTTTGAATGTGTGAGTGAGTGAGTGAGTGAGTGAGTGAGTGAGTGAGTGAGTGAGTGAGTGAGTGAGCGAGTGTGCGTGTTCCATGCTTGCACTGTGTTCATGCGTGCACGTGAGGGAAGGTGTGTGTGCGCACATATGCATGTGTGCATATACGTGCATGGGTTCACACATGAGTGCGTGCGCGCACGTGTGGATTTACACGTGCATGCTCACCACAGGGGGTTGGTGCGGTGCTTGGCGGCTTTGATGGGACCCAGCCCCACAATGCCATCGAACCGCGACCCCAGGTTCGCCGACCCTGGCAGCCACGTCGCCTCTGTGATGGCCTGCGCGGACCCCAGGGGGGGTGGGGGGGAGGATGGGGGAAGGGGTAGGGGAAAGGGGAGGGACGGTGAGGCGGACACACAGGTCAGGGGGGCGAGGCTGGCTAGCGGTGGAGGCTGCACTGCTGGGGGCAAGCGGAGCGGCGCAGCTAGGGTGTGCATGCCAAGGTGGGTTTGAGGGAGGGAAGCCAGGATGGTGAGGAGGTGGGAGGAGAGAACGGAGACGACAAGAGCTGCTTGAGCGAGGCGGGCGAGCTGCCTCGCTGCGAGGCAACGCGGCGAAGAGATCTGGGAGGTCGACCTGGGCTGTAGTGTGCACGGGGTACTTTCGCGCCATCCACCCCAGGATTCATTTAATCTCCTGCCCCCCCACGCCTTTCCTCCCATCTGAGCTCCCCGCACGCTCATCCCTCATCCCCTTCCCTCCTCTCGCCTCCGCTCACTCATATGCACGCACATGCTCCCGCGCGCATGCCTTCGCGCACATGTTGTTATCATGGCTATTTTACAAGATACTATTCAAGACCAGAATGTGACCCCCCGCACATACCCCCCCGCACATGCCCCGCCGCACATCCCCCCCCGCACATCCCCCCGCGCACACCCCCCCGCGCACACCCCCCCGCGCACACCCCCCCGTACACATCCCCCTGTGCGCATTCCCCCGCACATGCCCCGCGCACCTGGTTGGCGACTTTGATGCGGCCAACAGTGACGGTGTCCGTGCCCTGCGCGCCCTTCACCTTGCCCGAAAGATACGTTATGTACACCGTGCGCCCTGCCACGCGCACGCGCACCACACACGAGCGAGGACGGGGAGGGCTGAAGGCACGGGACAGTGCAGCGTGCAGCGTGCGCGCGGCGACGGCAAGTGCGCGGGCACTGCGATGGGTTCGGATGCGCTTGACGCATCCAATGCGCTGTGCTGCGTGCATGGTGGCAGTGCAGCGTATGGCCTCTCAGAACTCCTGCACACATGGCCTGTGCAGCGCAAGTGCGTGTGGGTAGCATTTGTGTGCGCGCGCGGGAGGGCTCACCAGTGGTTTTGAAGGTCTTGGACTTGGAGCTGTTGAAGCGGTTGTGCGTGTAGCACGCTATCTGATGCCGCGCACAGGGGGCACGGCAGGGCACAGTGAGGGACGCGGGAAGTGGCATGCAAGCAGAGGACGGGTGGTGTGAGGACGGGCGGTCATGGGCATGCGATGGTATACGGTGGCAACGAAAACGGGATTCGTCAAGTGGAGTGGGAGAGTGGGGCGGGGGGGAGGGGATGAATGGATGGAACAGGGGGGAACGGGGTGCGGGGCGCGCGGGCGCGGGGGCGGGGGTAAGGGGGAGGGGGAGAGGGGGGGAGGGCGCGCGACGTACGTTGGTGCGGCAGGTATTGGAGGGCACCCAGGTGTCGGAGGAGCCGGTGTCGAAGAGCATGGAGAAGCGCTGCGGCGGGTTGCCGATGCTGACGGTGCCGAAGAACTGCATGTTGAGGTAGTTGCTCAGCCGCACCGCCGTCGACGACGGCACCGCCAGACTGCCGCGCGCACGGGGGGAGGCGCACGCGCGGGAGGACGAGGGGGTTGGGGAGGGGGGTTAGCCGGGGGGTAGGAGGTTTGCGGATGGAGTGTTTGAGAGGGTTAGGGCGCGGAGGGACGTGGAATGGACGGGATGCGGCGGACGGCGACGAGGGCGCGTGGCGGATAACGAGGGTATATGATGGGTCGGGAGTGGCACGAGAGGCGTTGATGAAAAAATGGTTTTCGTCAACTCACAGGTCAGCCATTTCCTCGGGTCTTGTCGCATTCGCCATCCCGCTTATATCGAACTGCACGGCCCGTTGTCTCGCCCACGCGCCCATACCGCGTACGTCCGCCTCGGTGACCTCCCTCTTCTGCAGGGAGATGCTCTGCACCGCGTCGACCGACGGCGGGGACCGCGCCGCCGATGCTGGAGCTACCATGCACGTGATAGAGACCATTGTGACAGTAACGAGGGCTTGAACTAGGAGAGCCGTGATTTTAGTCGTGTACGGCAGTGAGTGAAGCGGCTTGCTCGCACAGCATCGAATTCGTCTGTCGCGCGACCAGTGGGCGGAACGGACCACCTTTTCTGGCTGTCTGCGGGAAACGGACAACGCTGTCGCAGAGCTACTACCCTTTTCTGTCCCGTTCTCTGACCGTGCTATCCCCATGGTCGCCGCTTTTCTTTTGGGCTCTCACCTCCGCTGCTCCAGAAAGGTCTTCAGGGTTTTCTGGGGCTAGACTAATACCGTGCTGCCGTGCGAGAGCGCAGAGAGGGGTTTCTGTGTGCGGAGAGCGAGGGTGCGGCTGAGATGAGCGGTGCGATGCGAGGAGCAATGGAGCTGGGCCGTCAGCAGCTCGCACGACTCTCGTGCTTCACGAGGAGGGAAATCGTGCGGCATGCAGGGACGCTCGGTCAGATGGAAAGAGCGCGTCGGTACCGTGGTGTCGTAAGAGGGACACGGGAGGAGCTAAGTAGACGAGTGATGATCAGGCTACGATGCAACGGTGTTGTGAGGTTGCGGAGGCCATGAGATGGTGGTTGCTTCTGCACCAGCTGCGTGACAGCCTCGGCGCAGGAACAAGGCGAGGTCGGCTGGTCGGCAAGGTCAAGCGAAGCGAGGCAGGCGAGAATTGCGGGTCGAAAGCTGATGTGAATCTCCCAGGTGGTCATGGACATGGATGAGTGGAATTAGGGCGTGTCCAGCGCGTACGTTTACGGTTCGTTTAAAGTTCATGACTCATGGCGCAACACGATATCAAATGGTTCAAAGCGATTTGCAGTTTCCACCATTTTTAACCGTGACGCAACAAGGTCAACCGCACAGGATGAACTGTAAACGTACGCGCTGGACCCGCCCTTAATTGGTGAAGGAAGTGAGTTGTGCGATGTCCTCGGCGACACTCGAAGGGACGGTCAATTCGCACAAATCTACGCGAGGCGAAAGGCCTTGATTCCGCACCGCGTCGAAATTTGGGGGGCGGTGTACCTTCATTTCGAACATGGGAAGGGCTTGGGGGGTTCGTTGGGGAGATGGGAAGGGAAGATGGGTTCAAAACAAGCAATTGATTTTGTGACCGATGGGAATCCGCTCCCTAGCTCGAACTGTGAAAAACCTCCCCTGTGTTGGCTGAAAGTTTACGGTCGGAGTTCACTTTACCAACCGAAGCGCGCAACTTGCGCGTCGCTAATCCATTTTACATTTTCCAAGGGTGGCATGCGTTTCCCGCCAGTGAAGGTTCACGATTTTCGTTACGACTCACCTCAGCACATGATACGGTACAAGCTGTTGAAATAAGCGAAAATTATGCACAAGAAAGAGGAACAACTAAAGAGGAGAATGACACCTGGGACGCTACATATATTCCTCCGCAGAGGATTCCTATACGGAGGAATCTGGAGCAGTGCAAGATGGCCGATCAAGCAACAAATTTCCAAGACCTTAATGACCGCGTTCAACAGCATTGCCCTCATGAGGCGCTACAGCCGGCATGGCCAAACCCCACCTCACCAGTTCTTGCCATATGAGTTGGCCTCTGACGAACCACGTTTCGCTGCTATCAAAAAATAGGAGCCGACCTACATTTGCAACAGTCGCCAGCCCTACTTGTCTTGCAAACTCCCGCAAACCATTCGCCCTCTCTTGACACCGTTACTACACCTCATGTGTCACCCAGACTCAGTGCAAGGCTGGAACCTGTTGCTATCCATCATGCGCCTTCTGCTCCGCGAGCAGAGTTCAAATAAGCGTAATTTGCCAGAAGTGAAGCAACGCCTTCGAACGTTTTATGAAGGCGATTGGGGCCAACTGTAACAAGTATTGTCTCACTCTCTCCATGCCTAACCTCACAGAATTGTAAGCGGGCCCGAGTGGAGACAGTGGCTCATTGCGGCAGCCTTAAACACGCCATGATGGCTTTTGAGGCAACACCTATAGCTGAACACGCTGAGGTCCTAGAGGAAGCACCCGCTCGCATCAACCATGCCCATCGACTCGAACAACGCTGCACATCCCTACCGGCCACAATCAGCAAATCAACCTTCAAAAATATACTCTGCCAGTGTGACAACGGCGTGGGAGGCGAACCATCGGGAATGACATTACCAACACAATAGTGAACACGCACCTTCACGTGCGAATCAACACCATCATGCGCTGCTCTCTCCCCGCAAGAGTCAACTATCTCCATGGGTCCTTTAAACTGTCGAAGGGAAAGGCCCCGCCCTCGCTTGGGCGAAGTCGATCTCGCTGTCCGGTCTGCAATGTATGCAGATGGCTGCGTTTCGTGGTCTAGGCCAACTTCGGGGACTTTTATATGTGTGCGACGAAGCGTCTGTCCACGATATTAATTCGTCGACATCGACAAAACTTTTGCTGGTCTACAAAAGTGGTCGAGGACGAAACGCTAGTCGACGGGATTAAATCAGCGCGAAGACGAATGTCGTTGGTCGACCAGAATCTCTTCTACAACCAATTTCGTCAATACAGGGGCAACCATGCAAGGCGGCAACGATGTCGTCATAGGCGTCGCACGCGCAAACATGAGCTCTCACCCTGGCGTACTGAGTCAACATACACATACACATTTGTATGTGCACGTTATAGGCTATGTTAGGTTGTACTGTAGAGGGTATATGTTAATTACTTGTACGCCCCTTTATGCACTATTCTAGTCAGTCTCTAGTTCTGATATGGTATCACGCTTAGGTTAAATCACACGCTTCCGCCCCGCCTACTCGCCCTAGCGCTCCATCGGCCCCCTAGCGCCCATCGCGTCCCCTAGTGCCCTAGTGCCCTCGCCCCCCTAGCGTCCGTCGCGCCCCTAGCGCCCTAGCGCCGTCGCCCCCCTAGGAACCCGCCGCCCCCCATAGCGCCCACGGCCCCGCTAGCGCCCCGTCGGCCCCGTAGCGCCCGTAGCGCCGCTAGCGCCCTAGTGCCGTCATCCCCCCACCCCCCCCCTCCCCACCCCCCCCCCCCCCCCCCCCCCCCCCCCCCCCCCCTCTCTAGGAACTCGTCGGCCCCCTAGCGCCCTAGCGCCCCAGCGCCCCGGCGGCACCCCCTAGCGCCCGCGCTTGCGCATGCTGCACTCGCGGCCGCACCTTCCGCCCACGCTCGCTGCGCCTGCCGCCGCCACGCCCGCGCCTGCCACCGCCGCGCCTTCCACGACTACCGCGCCCTCACTGCGCCTGCTACCGCGCGTGCCCGCGCCTACAGCGCTCGCGCATACCACCGTCGCGCCTACCGCCACATGTGCCTGCTGCGCCTGCGCCTGTCGCGCCCGTGCCTGCCGCGCCCGCGCTGTTGCTGCTGCGCCCGCGATGCCGCCGTAAGTGCATGCGCCTGCCGCCACACGCGCCCGCGTGCGCCTGCCGTGCGCCTACCGCGCCCTCCCGAGCGCCTGCCACGCACCCTGCTGCTCCCTGCCGCGCACCCTGCTGCGCCCTGCCGCACCGTGCCGCACCATGCTGCCCCGCCTCAAGCTGCACCTGCCGGCGCGCCTGTCGCCGCGCTTGTCGTCGCCACCGTGCCTGCAGTTGTTGCCTGCCGCTGCCACTGCAGCCGGGCATAATCTTAATACAGTAGTACCCCATAAGTAATGCAAACGCTCAATAGTCCTAACAATTGCACAGCATGGTTTTCTAATATTTAGATAGGGTTCAGTATCCAGCCACAGTGCATTGTTCCTGCAAAAAAACAAGTGCCCGTTTTGCATAACAGCATCTGACTGAACCCGTATGATGCACAAGTAGGTGTCCAATGTGGACGAATCGCTGCGAGTACTGCTGCAGTCACACAAACCTGAAACGATCCTTATCCACTCCTCTCCATTGCTGCCCCAAGCCCACAGCACTCGCTCCCTCCTTGCCCCCTCCTTTCAAATGTATACCGGAGCTTTAATTTGATGGCACGTGCCAGGTCGTGCTGGCTCGAGCCAAGGCGATGCAGTGCACTGACTCGGCTCGGGGCATGCCGTGCCAAGTCAGTGCACCGCATTGACTCGGCCTCCCGCTTGCCTGGAGCCTTTTATAACCCGTGCCCCGAGCCGAGCCGATGCAGTGCACCGGGAATTGCAACCCGCCGTAACTCCCATCCCATTGGAGTTCCCCAAATGGCCAGGTCTCACCTTTTTTGTAGAGGCATCATACCTCCTTGTGCGCCGCGTCCGCAAATGGGAGCGGATCCTGCAATGAGCATGGGACGCACGGGACACGGGATGCAATCAAGCGGTGTTATGCGGCGCGATCGCGTAGATGCGGTGGAACATCACTCCAATGGACAAGATGGAGGAACACAACGTACGGTTCAGCTACCACGCCTATCCACCGTACCTACCCTCTTCGACCCTTCGTCACGCGAGTACACGGAAGAAGACAATGACCGCAAAATGGTGGGAGCAACGGTGGACAAGGCGTTCACCACTACCTTCCGGGAGTGGGCTCTTCGATTTCGCATGATATGAGCAGGCATGGGAGTGGGGAGAAGCACAGAAGGGGGCATTGCAGGATCTGATGACCGCGGTAAAGATGGCAATCGTGCTACAACTGCCAGCAGCAGACCAGCCGTTCACCCTGTACACCGACTGGAGCAGCCAAGGGATGGGGGCCATACTCTGCCAGGAAGTGGAGGGGGAGGAGAAGGTGGTGGCATACGCGCGCAGGGGCTGCAACTCGGCAGAGGCACTATACAGCTCGTACATAGGGGAGGGATTGGCGTCAGTATTGGCCGTAGGGCATTTTAGGACAGCCCTATTGGCGTGACAAACCTGTGGGAGTTCTTTGTCACTCTTCAATACCCTGTTCCCATGGCGAATGGCAACATGCAAGATGCAATGGAGCGGCTGGGAAATCTGCAAGCGGAATACTCACAACGTGCGACGCTAGCATTTGGGTGCTACTGCACAGTGTGAGCGCAACGATTCAGCAGCAATTGGACGTGTTTCGAGAGTCATACAGTCCGGCGTTCGAGGCATGGGGATACTTGATGGAGACTTACCAGGCCAAGGACTTAGTGGCAAAGCTTTCTCTCTTGAAGCAATTGGACAACCTGAAAATGGGGAATCAGGAGAGAGTGGAGGAATACATCAACCGGGCAACGTCAATTCGGGACAAGTTGACATTGGCGGGGAAGATGGTGGATGAAGACACATTCACCTTGAACTTGATCACCGGACTGCCGGCACATTGGGAGGAGCTGAGGCACTCGGCAATGCTGCAAGATGTAACGTACGGCTACACCTTGCAATGCATGATGATTCAGGAACAACGCTACCAAGACCTCATCACCGAACCAACCGTGATCGACGTCCTCCACGCATGGCTGGACAAGCACGTGGAGACTCACCGGAAAGGAGCGCAAAGGGAACAAGGATGACTAGAATGTGGGGAAGTCGGCCGAAGGACCGCAAATGAAGAACAAAAACAGCAACACTGGAGGGGGAGGACGCTCACCTCTCGTGTGTTGGTACTGCAAGCAATCTGGCCACCCATTTTCCAAGTGTCCCAAGGCATCTCCAGGTTGGCCACCACAAGGATGGGAACGAAGGAGAACAAATCAGCGCACCGGGAACAACCGTTCGACCTCACCTCGGAGGAGTGGCAGCCCCATGCGTGACACCAATGCGTCAAAATAACAAGGGGTAGCCGGGGAAGACAAACAACGCACCATTACCTGCATTGCAACGGTTCGGTCGTCACAAACAGTCGTACCAAAGACTGGAGGGTCTTTGTGGTTGCTGGACAGCGGTTGCAGCCAGAATATGACTTCGGACAAAAAGTGGTTTGAGGATTTGAAGGAGCTGGACGAACCTATGCGTGTGGAACTTGCTGATGGGAGCACTCTGAGCAGCACGATGAGGGGAACAATCAGAGCAACGGCACCTGATAAGACACCAGTTCAATATAATGAAGTCCTCTACATACCCGGTCTGAAGTCCAACCTCCTCTCCTATTGCCAGCTGCAAAGAAAGGAGCTCGGATTCACACTATTGATGATGGAGACACCGAAATCTCCATGCCTGATGGAAATGGGTGTGTACAGATTGGGCTTGGCAAGAACGTGCATGGGTGCAATATGAGCCTGCACTTACATCTGCACTTACATCAAGCATCGAATGACAATGGTTGTGGAAGGTGAGTCGCCTGTGGTGCCGGCCAAGAGCATCGCCGGTGGCCAACGTGACGTCAAGCCAGTCGACGTGGGAGAAATGCCGCCGTTGACAGGGGAGCAGCAAGCAGAGGAAGTGCAGCCGAATTTGGTGGAGCCGGCGAAGGAAGTGTCAGCAGGGTGGTCGCCGACAGAGGAGCAGCCAGCTGTGAAGCCGACCAAGAAGCAGTCGGCGACCAGACAGTCGGCAGGGGAGCCGACGACCGGGGAAAAGTCGGCAGCGATGCCGACTGTGGTGCAGCAGGACACCAAGGGCAGCGAAGCCGGTGACGATGAAGGGGAGCAGTCGGGCGCCGAGGAGTTCACTGACAATGATGTGGTGGAGTTCCTTCCTGGACCACAGCGTTCAGGCCGAGCTCAAAGGCCACCTGACTTCCTGTCGTACCATGCGTGCCTGCCGCCAGCTGCCTACACCACGGTGTTCGACGAGGTCGATGATGATCTGCTGTACGACGACGCCGAGGACGACGTCGACCTGCCGGAGCTGGACCCCGACATGCACGCCGACCCCGAGCACCGCTGGGACATCGCAACGATGACGGTGAAGGAGGTGTTGGCGAGCTGGAAGGGCAAGGCGGTGAAGGCCACCATGGTCGAGGAGATCCGCAGCCTCATCGGCAAGGGGACTTGGGAGCTGGTCGAATGCCAGCCCGGGGTGAACGTCATGAAGAACCGGTGAGTGCTGATGACCAAGTACCACATTGACGACACGGTCGCCCAGGAGAAGGCGAGGCTGGTCGTGAAGGGCTTCACGCAGGTGTACGGCGCCGACTACGACGAGACGTATGTGCCGGTGAGCAGCTACGTCACGCTGAGGATTTTCCTTAGCATCGCCGCCGTCCTCAACTTGCACCTGATGCAGCTCGACAGGAAGAACGCCTTCCTGCATTGCAAGCTCGACCAGGTGTTGTACATGTACCAGCTGGACTACTACAATGACGGGACCGGCCCGGTGTGCAAGCTGCTGAAGAGCCTGTACGGGCTGAAGCAAACGCCGCTGCTGTGGTACAAGGTGCTGGTCGGCGCCGGGTGGAAAAAGAGCCAGGTCAACGAGGCTCTGTACTTCAAAGTCGGCAGGGATGGTGTGGCCTGCTGGATACTGGTCTACGTGGACGACCTGCTCGCCGCCAGCAGCAGCACCGCAATGCTGAAGGAGCTGAAGGAGCTGCTGGAAGCCGCCTTCAAGCTGCGGGAGATCTCGCCGGTGGAGAAGTACCTCGGGCTGGAGATCGCGCGCGACAGGCTGGCAAGGAAGCTGTGGCTGCACCTGCAGGGCTACGTCGACAAGCTGCGCCGGCGGTTCATCAACGAGGAGCAGACCGGGCGCACCCCGAAGATGCCGGTCTCCGTGGACGCCTACCCGAGCTGACGTTCGACGACGAAGAGTCACAGGAGCGCCAAGAGGAGGGGTATCGGCAGAAGTTCAGCTCGCTGCACTTCGCGGCGAAGACGACGAGGCCGGACATCGCCTTCGCCTGCAGCAAGCTGGGGAGCGGCCTCACGGTGAGGAGCGACCAGCACTGGCGCGAGGTCGACCGCTGACTCGCCTACCTCGCCAACACTCGTGACACTGTCTTGATGTTCGGCGGTGGACCAGAGTCGCTGAAGCTGGTCGGCTACGTGGACGCCGACGACGCGGGCGACAAGCAGAACCGGACAAGCACGGGCGGCTACGTGTTCGTCTACGGGGGCCACGGTCTCCTGGTCGAGCCAGTGCATCAAGTGCGGCCGAGTCGGAGTACGTGGCGGCCACCGAAGCTGGCATGGAGGGACGCCGCCTTCGCTTCGTCCTTGCAGAGTTCCGGCAGTTGGACGCCGGGACGCCGACTATCCTTCGGATGGACAACAAGTTGGTCATCAAGGTCGCCGAGGGCATGGGGTTGACTCAAGCACATGGAGTGACGCTACGCCTGGCTGCAGCACATGATGAAGCGCAGGAAGTTTGCGTTGAAGTACATCTCGACCACCGAGCAGCCGGCTGACTTCCTAACGAAGGAGCTGTAGTACCCGGCCTTCAACCAGTGCTCCGTCGCAATCGGCCAAGTGCGCCTGGCTGACGTCGGCGGCGGTGACGACGACGTGCAGCAGTAGGTGCCATGCCTTCTTGCATGGCTGGTGCGGTAACTGGCGTGCTAACAGTGTGCACGCCGACGGGCTATTCTCCCAGTGGGGCTGCCGTGTGGGCTGGGTGCCCAAGCGTGAACGCGGCAGGGGAGTGTCAACGGGAGTTGTGGTTGGCCCCGTCCTTGCTTAGGCGGAGCCGACGTCGCAGTCGGGTGTGTGGGGAGCGCATCCGATCAGCTGCAGTGAAGGCGCCGAGCTGGAGGGTGTCGAGGTGGAGGGCGCCGAAATTGTGGGCGTCTGGGTGGAGGGCGCCGAGCAGGAAGACGCCGTCATGGGCGTATG